GTAGACTGACACAGAGATTCGTAGACTCACACGGAGACTCTTAGACTCACACGGAGACCTGTAGACTCACACAGAGACCGGTAGACTCACACAGAGACCCGTAGACTCACACGGAGACCCCTAGGCTCACAAGGAGACTCTTAGACTCACACGGAGACCCGTAGACTCACACGGAAACTCTTAGACTCACACGGAGACCCCTAGGCTCACAAGGAGACCCGTAGACTCAAACAGACACCCGTAGACTCACACGGAGACTCATAGAATTACACGGAGACCCGTAGACTCACACGGAGACTCTTAGACTCACACGGAGACCCTAGGCTCACAAGGAGACCCGTAGACTCAAACAGACACCCGTAGACTCACACGGAGACCCGTAGACTCCTCACACGGAGACCGGTAGACTCACACGGAGACCCGTAGACTCACAATGAGACTCGTAGACTCACAAGGAGACCCGTAGACTGACACAGAGCTCGTAGACTCACACGGAGACTCTTAGACTCACACGGAGACCCGTAGACTCACACAGAGACCGGTAGACTCACACAGAGACCCGTAGACTCACACGGAGACCCCTAGGCTCACAAGGAGACTCTTAGACTCACACGGAGACCCGTAGACTCACACGGAAACTCTTAGACTCACACGGAGACCCCTAGGCTCACAAGGAGACCCGTAGACTCAAACAGACACCCGTAGACTCACACGGAGACTCGTAGAATTACACGGAGACTCTTAGACTCACACGGAGACCCCTAGGCTCACAAGGAGACCCGTAGACTCAAACAGACACCCGTAGACTCACACGGAGACCCGTAGACACACACAGAGACCCGTAGACTCCTCACACGGAGACCGGTAGACTCACACGGAGACCCGTGGACTCACAATGAGACTCTTAGACTCACAAGGATAACCCGTAGACTCACACAGAGACCCGTAGACTCCTCACACGGAGACCTATAGACTTACACGGAGACCCGTAGACAGGAAAACTCGGAGCCTCACATTGAATCAACTAAACGTCCCTCCCTAAAACCTTCTGCTGCAAGACCCCCTAGATTCTATGGTCTTCCAAAGATTCATAAAGAAGGCACTCCACTACGACCCATCGTATCCACGATCAACTCCCCTACCTATAAGCTAGCACGTTTTCTGTCGGATACCTTGCTACCTTTCACTGGCAAGACCTCCTCAGCTGTACTTAACTCAGCCCACTTGGTTTCTATGGTCAAAGACGTTGTACTGTCCCCTGACGATATCCTTGTCAGCTTCGATCTGGTCTCCTTGTTCACCAAGGTCCCGGTACCTGATACCATTGAAATAATTGAAAATTTGGTACAACATGGACTAAACCCCGAGGTACCTACGCTGGACAGGCACTGCCTCACCAACACCTACTTCACTTGGAATGGTTCCTTCTACAAGCAAAATGAGGGTACTCCCATGGGTCCCCCCTTGTCACCAATGATAGCCAATGTTTTCATGGAGAAATTTGAATCGGACGCCATCCAGACTTCCACCCTCAGACCTTCCCTGTGGAAGAGATATGTGGATGACTCTTTCGTCATTTGGCCACATGGCCTCCCAGCTCTGAACCTTTTCCTACACCACATCAATTCCAGACATCCAGCCATCAAATCATGGAAGTGGAGAAAAATGGCAAGCTACCATTCTTGGATGTTCTATTTGAGAGGAGACCTGATGGCTCATTGGGGCATTCTGTCTGCAGGAAACCCACCCACACAGATTCCTACTTGAAGCCTGATTCCCACCACCACCCAGCCCAAAAGAATTCTCTCATCAAAACTTTATACCATAGGGCTCATTGCATTTCGGACCAACGACACCTGACCAGTGAATTAAAACATGTACACCTGGCCCTTTAAAGGAATGGTTACTCTGACCGTACCATCCGCCAAGCTGTTTCTCCCTCCATACAGAAACAACCACTTGATACTCCGGTCAAAACCATCACACTACCATATATAGCAGGCGTTACTAAAAAGATTTCCAAAATTCTTAACAAACACAAGATCCAGGTCCGGTTCAATACAGTACATAAAATTCGTGATCTGATCCCATCCGTGAAGGATGTCATTCCTGACTTACAGTACCCCGGGGTTTACAAATTGAGTTGTACCTGCGGTGATTGCTATATCGGGGAGACGAAGCGACATGTCTCTGACCGAATTCGCGAGCACAAATCAGATTTGAAACACAGCAGAACGAATTCTTCTACCGTGGCTGATCACTGTTACAACGCTGTGGGTGATCACGATATAATTTTCTCCGATACCAAGGTTCTTTGCCAACCCACGGGTTTTTATCAGAGATTTGTCCACGAGGCAATTCAGATCTACAAACACGGACACAATTTCAACCGAGAAGATGGTTTCAAATTAAGCAACCATTGGAAAGATGTTCTAAATCGAACTAAACATTAAACTAATTTTCATTGGTACAGTATATATTTTTTTCAAGTAATGGTACCCCAAATTTTCGCAGCACAGGCTGGTGCACTGCCGGTGCCGATCACTGTGCTACACCTTTCATCAAATGCTAATTTTTACGCTAACTCCTTTGTAAAGGCACCTTAATCCCTCTCACGCAGCTTAAAGGTGCACTGCCGCGTGCTACACCTTTCATCATGCTAAGTCTGCCAATCAAATGCTAATTTTTTGTTACGCTAATTCCTTCGTCAAGGCACCTTAATCCCTCTCACACAGCTTTAAAGGTCGCAGTCTGAGCTTGGATCTGTTTCACTGCAGCGCAGTCTTCGAGACAGGCCGGTCCCTTCACCTGATGAAGGCCGCTTGTGTTGTGGCCGAAACGTCGTGATTTTTGTTGTTTTACCTAAGTGACTTTACCGAATAGAACCAAAGAGTTTGGATCCTTGAGGTCACGAAAGCTTCAAATCTAGAACTCACATGGAGACCCGTAGACTCACAAGGAGACCCATAGACTCACAAGGAGACCCATAGACTCACACAGAGACCCGTAGACTCACACGGAGACTGGTAGACTCACACGGAGATGGGAAAATAATAAAAGTAAATAAAAAAAGTACAACGTTTCGATCAAAACATCATCGGGAGGAAAAAGTGCGGAAAAACTTTCCCAAATCTACAACAAGAAACCGGATGACACACACAGAGACACACACACAGACACACACGGACACACACAGAGAGACACACACACACAGACACACACAGACACATACACAGAGACACACACAGCCACACACACAGAGACACACACACACATAGACACACACACATAGACACACACAGTCACACACACACACGCAGAAACACACAGAGACACATAGAGACACACTTAGACACATAGAGACACACAGAGACACACACACAGAGACACACAGACACACACACACGGACACACACACAGAGACACTCACACAGAGACACACACACAGACACACACACACGGACACACACATACAGACACACACAAACACGGACACACACACAGAGACACACAGAGACACTCACACACGGACACACAAACAGACACACACAGACACACACACTAAAACACACAGACACACACACAGACACACACACACACAGACATACACACAGACACAGACACACACAGAGACACACACACACAGACACACAAACACACAGACACACACACAGACACACACACAGAGACACACACACAGACACACACACAGAGACACACACAGACACCCACACACAGACACACATACACAGATACACACACAGAGACACACAGACATACACAGACACACACACAGACACACACAAAGACACACATACACAGATACACACATACAGAGACACACAGACACACACAGACACACACACAGACACACACACAGACACACACACAGAGACACACAGACACACACAGAGACACACACAGAGACACACACATACACACAGAGACACACAGACACACACAGAGACACACACACAGAGACACACACAGAGACACACACACAGAGACACAGACACACACAGAGACACACAGACACACACAGAGACACACACACATAGAGACACAGAGACACACACAGAGACACACACAGAGACACACACATAGACACACACACAGAGACACACAGAGACACTTACACACAGAGACACACACAGAGACACACACAGAGACACACAGAGACACACACACAGAGACACACACAGAGACACACACACACAGAGACACACACAGAGACACACACACAGAGACACACGGAGACACAAACACACAGACACACAGACACACACAGAGACACACAAACACACACAGAGACACACAGAGACACACACACATAGAGACACAGAGACACACACAGAGACACACAGACACACACAGAGACACACACACAGAGACACACACAGAGACACACACACAGAGACACAGACACACACAGAGACACACAGACACACACAGAGACACACACACATAGAGACACAGAGACACACACAGAGACACACACAGAGACACACACACATAGAGACACAGAGACACACAGAGACACTTACACACAGAGACACTTACACACAGAGACACACACAGAGACACACAGAGACACACACACAGAGACAGAGACACACACACACAGACACACCGAGACACACACAGACACACACAGAGACACACACACACAGACACACACAGAGACACACACACAGAGACACACGGAGACACACACACACAGACACACAGACACACACAGAGACACACAAACACACACAGAGACACACACACATAGAGACACAGAGAGACACACAGAGACACACACACAGACACACACAGAGACACACAGATACACTTACACACAGACACACACAGAGACACACACAGAGACACACACATAGAGACACAGAGACACACACAGAGGCACACACACAGAGACACACACAGAGGCACACACACAGAGACACACACAGAGAGACACACACAGAGACACACACACAGAGACACGCAGAGACACTTACAGTGTAACGCCACTCGACCCTTCTCTGCCAAGTGTCTCTCCCGATCCGTCTTTGTCTCTCTTTTGACACACGGCAGCTATGGAGTGCCTCGGTTCGTTCCTGGTTCCGATCTGACCGATTTGGTGCTTACCGCAAGTTCCACACCCACACAGACACATGCACTTGTGTGTGTGTGCGTGTGTGTCTGTGTAATCTTTCCCGAGCACACGCCATGCTCACACACACACTGACACACACACACTGACACACGCACACACTGACACACGCACACACACACCCACCCACATTGACACGCACACACACACTGACACGCACGCACACTGACACACACTGACACACAAACTGACACACACGCGCATACACACACAGACACACACATTGACACACACACACACTAACTCACGCACACACACACACACTGACACACACACAGACACACCCACACACACTGACACGCACACACACACTGACACGCACGCACACACTGACACACACACTGACACACACTAACACACACACTGACACTCACACACTAACTCACCTACACACTGACACACACACACGCGCACATACGCACTGACACACACACACTGACTCACCTACACACTGACACACACACACTAACACAATGACTCATATACACACTGACACACACCCAGACACACGCACACTAACTCACCTACACACTGACACACACACAGACAAACACACACTAACTCACCTACACAGTGACACAAACACACACACAACAACAACAACCGCCATTCGCCAATAAGTGGCGGTGACGTCACCACGACGCTTGTGCCAGGCTATGTGCACCTTGAGGCCACGTGAAGTTTCGAACGCCCGCTGGCAGGAGGTCACGGGGCAGATCCAGGTGCCACGGGTCGACTGACTGAGATGACTGAGATGACTGGCTGATGCACCACCTGTGGCCCCTACTGTGCCAACCTGCTGTGCTTTAGCCACCCGGTGTTCCGCTCGTTGTTGTGAGCGTCGCTCCTCCGCCGTCCATTGTTGTTGGAGGGCGACTACTTCCAACTGCCCAGTAGCGTCCTTCACGAGCCTCCTCCACAGAGGCCGATCTTGACACCGCTGATACCAGTCAAGCGCAAGTCCACTCAGCTTCACGTCCTCCTGTACCACATCACTCCATCTCTTCTCTAGCCCGTGCCGCGCCCGTTTAACCCCCTCGATCCGACCGAACAAAAGCTGTTTCGGCATGCGGTGGCTGGGCATGCGGGCTACATGACCCAGACAACGCAGCCTTGCCTGCCGGAGGAGCTCAACGACGGGACCTTGCCCAGATCTTTCAAGGATTTGTGAGCTCCTCACACAATCCAGCCTGGTTAAACCCAGGATGGATCGTAGGCAGGCAAGCCTAAATGTTTCTAATCGGCGAAGATGTTCCATTAAGGGGGTCCACGTTTCGCAAGCGTAGAGAAGGGAGGGAATGACCGTGGCCGAGAAGACCTGAAGCTTAGTGCGGAGCGACAGACCAGGTAGCTTTCACACCCCGTTACGCAACTGATGAAAAGATATTGCCGCTCGACTGATTCGGAGTGAGACCTCTGCTGTTAAACTGGAGCCAGTCATAAGCACACTGCTCCAGGTATGGGAAACTCTCCACTCTCTCCACAACTGCCCCATCACCGATTGGGAGTTGTGGGGGTGGAGTGTCCTATGGTACAAAATACCCAGGCAGGTGCTTAGTTTTGGTGGGGTTGATGGTAAGGCCCCACCTCTTAGTGGCACGCTCCACTCTCAGCAGCAGCGTCTCCAACTCCTCCTCTGACTGAGCAGCTATTACCAAATCATCGGCAAACATAACGTGGTTGAGCAATAGGGAGCCATCCCTTGACCGCACCCGGGCATCGATCAGTCTCCCATTATATCTGTACCAAATGGAGATTCCCCCGGGACGGCTATTGAAGGCTTCACGAACTACGTGGTCAAAATAGATGTTAAATAATGTGGGAGCCAGAGGACATCCCTGTCGCACCCCAAGGTGTACAGGCAATGGCTCTGACTCCCGGCCACGTAGTTTTACCCGGGCCCGCTCACCATCATGAAGGTCCTTAATGATCGTGAGCAGGGGGTCAGGGACTCCGAAAGCACGAAGAACAACCCAGAGCCCAGGCCTACTGACGGTATCATAGGCCTTGACCAGGTCAATAAAGCAGAGATGTAGGTCTTGTTGGAATTCCCTACACCTCTGCTGTAGCAGACGGACAGAAAATATGGCATCTGTGCAGGACCGCCCTTTCCTGAAACCGCATTGGGGATCCGCAAGCCTCTCCTCAGCGTGCATGGCAAGGCGATGTTGAATAATCCTTGCCAGGACCTTTTCCGGCACACTGAGGAGTGAGATGCCCCTGTAGTTGTTACAGTCTGTGCGGTCCCCCTTCTTAAAGAGCGGGACCACCAGGGCATCCTTCCAATCCTGCGGAACCCGTCCAGTGGTCCAGACTGTTGTTATGATGTCATCTAGGGCAGTATGTGCACAAACGTCACCCCCCCTCAGCATTTCGCTTGGGAGATCATCTCTGTCCTGTGCCTTTTCTGGTCTCAGACTCCGGATCGCCTTCAGTACTTCCTCAACAGATGGCACCTCAGACAGCCACTCACAGGGGGGTGACTTCCTACAATAGTTGAGGCACCACAGCCTCAGTAGGGTCATCCCCACTTTGTCCCACGATGTTTTCCTGGCTGAGGGCTTTCCCCTCCCCCAGGACCTCACAGAAATGTTCAGCAAATCTGCAAACCTGTTCCTGGGTGGCGTAGATTGGAACACCATTTTTTCTGCTAATGATGGTAATAGGTGTGGCGCTGCAGGTTACTTTTTGATGGAGTTAAATAGAGATTTGTGATCGCGAGCCAATGAGGCAGACTCCATCTCCTCAGCAACCCGCGACCACCACACACCCTTGCAGTGCCTCACAGCTCTCCGAACCTCCAAGCGAAGGCTGCGGTAAGCCTCCTCATTCTCTGATGTGGGATTCTGTAGCCGATGACAATTGGCCTGTCACTTTTTCTCAACTATCCTGAACACCTCCTCTGTCAGCCAGGGTCTCTGGGGAGGTCTGGACTGCGTACCCAAAGCAGCCATTGCAGCTGCATGAATCACAGTCCTAAACCTCGCCCATTTACCCTTGATATCAGGAGGAGTGGGGGACGATGCTAACCCCAGCCGCAAGCGATGATGAAATTCTCGCTTGCAACTTTCTTCAGCTAACTGAGACCAGGCCACTTTAGGTTGGAATGGGATCCTGGGTGTACACCGACCACCGGAGTGGAAGAATGGCAGGCGCATCTTACAGATGACTAGTCGATAGTCAGAGGGCAGATCAGCTCCACGGGTAGGTCCTGGTGTCAAGGACATAGGATCGTATCCGCTGGTCCGTCACTATGTAGTCCAGCACATGTTCTTGCTTGGACCCGGCATGCATCCATGATGTTGTGTGGATGCGCCGATGCCAGAACAGTGTGTTGGTAATTTCAAGCCCATGGGCTGCACAATAATCTAGCAGCCTCCTACCGTTGTTATTGAGCTAATCTGGCCCATGCCCTCCAATCACTCCAGACCAGGTGCCAGCATCATGACCAACTCGGGCATTTAATTCACCCAACAAGATGGCTCTATCCCGAGGGGCCACTTTAGTCAGCACCTGTGACAAGAGGTCATAGAAGGCATCTGATTCATCCACTTTGCATGCATCTCTCCACGGATGTTCGTCTTCAGTGGGGGCATAAGTAACCACGACTACCACTCCTCGCCTCCGGTTGATGGGAATGCGAGCCCAAAGTAGCCTGGGGCTTACAGCTTCCCACACCTCACTGCCACGCTCCCACGCACCCTTCATTATTTTGTTCAAAAGAAGAGCCACACCCTGTTGTTTGGCAGTCTGCTGCCCCGAGTAGAGGACTGTCCAACCCTCATGGTGGCAGGAACCAGAACCGGTCCATCGGACCTCCTGAATACAACAGAGATCCAGGCGGTACCGGTCCAGCTCCCGACAGAGGAGTGGCAGCCTCTCCTCCGCAGTGAGCGTTCGAACATTCCACGTGGCCACACGCAGTGGCTTTTCGTTGTTTCTGGAGGAGCCCCGAGGGTAGAGATTAAATCTCCTTGCTCCGCCAATTGGGGTTTAGCCAGGAGACGTCATAGACGCCTGTCCCCCCAGGGCCTCCGGCACAAGCTTATTAGTTAGATATTTCAGTCGTGGTTTTGTGGTAATTTTTTGAAGGTGGAGGGGTTACCGGCCCCTCGCATCCATCCAGAGCCCCCCGTTTAGCCACTGTGGTGGTCACGGACGCCATGAGGGGAGAGGCCAATCGGAATTGGCCCTCCCCCCACAGCACTGTCCACGACAGAGTTGCCCGTCCGGCACCGCGTACACACAGACACACACACAAGAACACACTAACTTACATACATACACACACACACAAGAACACTTACTCACATACACACAGACAGACACACACACTCACATACACACAGACACACACACTCACATACACACAGACACACGTACGTGCCTCTGTGAGCTTACACACACACACAGACACACACAGACACACAATGACAAAGATCCCCACACCCACGGTATAGCCTCCACAAACTGTCGGGGCAAGTGCTGTTAGCGAGGATCACTCGCCTGGACGCACTTTACATCCTGCATATACTGTATATATTTTTTTCAAATATATAAAAGTATTAATTATAAATGTGCCCACCTTAATGAAATCACATTGTCGCACGGAGCGTGCAGGAAGTGTTGTGTAACTGAGTTCAATTCCACAATGGGGTTTTATTTTTTTTAAAGGGAATGCGGTGGAGGGGATTTAAAAATAACTCTTTAGTGGGTGGACTAATCTCCATCTGTTCCTTCTCACTCCATTCTACCACGTGGGTGGACTAATCTCCATCTGTTCAATCTTTCTACATTCTACACACGTGTGTGGACTAATCTCCGTCTGTACAATTGAGTGAGAAGGAACAAATTGAGATTAGTCCATCCACGGGTGGACAATGGAGTGAGAAGGAACAGATGGAGATTAGTCCACACACGTGGTAGAAGTGAGTGCGATGGAACAGATGGAGATTAGTCCACACACGTGGTAGAAGGGAGTGAGATGGAACAGATGGAGATTAGTCCACACACAGGATAGAAGGAAGTGAGATGGAACAAATGGAGATT